GGATTATCAGAATAGGAAGGAAATTCTTTGGATAATCGATCACTCTTTCTAAATTCTTGAAGGATATTATAAGGAGGATTATGACGCCATTGATCTAAAATAGTTTTAACCTTATGCACTTTAGGACGCTTAGCTTTATCACTATTCCAACATCTTTCCACTAATTCACGATAACAACTTGGTATTCCCTCAGGTAATTTAGGACGTCTATGATCTATAATAATTTCCAAAGCTAACGCGAAATCCCTTTGAGCACCAAAAAAGGATTTATCGGTATATGCTACTTCAGCCATAATAATACCCAAACTATAAATATCGGCTTCAGGTGTATAAGGATTTCCTCTTAAAACTTCAGGAGCAATATATTGCATAATACCATAAATAGCATCTTGTTGATTAAGTTCTTTAACTGGACGACATAATCCAAGATCACTTAAATATGCCCAAGTACCACGCATCATAACATTTCCACTATGAAAATCTCTATGAACTAATCCCGCATTATGAAGTGCTTCAAGATCATGAACAATAAAATGCAATACATCTAATTTTTTTTGCCAATCAAGATTAGGATTATCCCGTAAATATTGACGAAGGTTACCACCTTTAGCGAATTGCATAACCATGATCAAGTCATTCTGATCTGGATCTGGATGTCTACTAATTCCATAACATTTGAGAAATCGCACTCCATATGATGCACATCTATGATGTGCTTTAAGCTAATATTATTAAAAAAAAAAAAATTTTTAACACAAACGTCTTTACAAAAAAAAAAATTATAATAATAATTAATAATAAAATATACAGTACCTCGTCTAAAAATTCAGCTGAAACAGTCTGAGAATTATTTAGTCGTTTAAGTGCAACAGGAACCTTTCACTTCGTTCTCTCTTATATGGTGTTAAATGTTCGTCCAATGCATCAACAATTCTTTCCCCAGTTTTCCACCATGCATGATATACGATACCGAATCCACCTGTAGCTAATAATTGTACATTTTCAAAGTCTTTATAAGGAATCCATTCTAAATATGATGTATAAGATTTAGCATTTCGTTGGGTATCTCGAATAAATTCATCAATATCATCATCACCACTGGTCCAATTTTTGAATTCTTCAATCAATTTTGAATTATCACATTTATCGCACCAACAATAATCAGTTTTTGCTGCATTACAGTTAAGACATTTTCCAAATTGCTCAAATTTTTCTTGTACTAAGTCAGGTTCCATTATAAAACTTAATTAGATGATTAAATATTTTCTCTGCAAACAAATCATGCTTATAATATTAATAATTTTGGTTGCACGAATTAATTTTAAGATAACACACACCTTCTAAAATTCACCACAAAACCAAACGATAAACGAAATAAATATTGCAAAGTAATTTGATTGGTTAATGAAATAAGAATGTCCATCAGCAGAGAATTTTCTGGCTAAAGAGAAGTCCTATATATAGGACAATGCAGATCGGCACGTTGTACTGTAAGCAAAACAGGTTTGTGTCACATATCATTTACTAATTTGCGTAATCAACCTAAACTCAAAAATATACTTTTAAGGGGATATGAAAAAATTCATAATTTTATCTTAACATGATTGGCTATTTTTTTCTCTTCAGAAACAAATATTTTGGTAATAAAATGGAAATATATATATTTTTGACAGAAATCACAAAACTAGCCGATCGATCACAACGAATGCGAAATTTAAAATCGGTACTAGAAATAAAGAAATATTTACTATGCAAATCGGATATTTCGATTTATTGATCCCATAAAAATTTATGGCGCATAAGTTAGAGTAAATATCATTATTTAATATAACTCAGAAATGAAAAATTTAAAAGATTAATAACATCTTAAATAGTATTATTATTAAATCATTCAAGGAATCAATATTACTACAAAGACTTGGATGAGCAACGTTATCCGTATTTAGCTTTTTTAAAGAATTATGTTCAAAGATAATTTATTCTTTTATCTTCTCAATCTCAATCATTTAAATAGTATCGCTGAATCGGTATTACTGTCATACTGTGCCAACAAATCGAATTTTTTATGTTTGATAATTGTCCTCAGTCATGCAATGTCCATCCGCCGCGTGATTGGCCTGTCAAATTTTAAAATAGACTATATATCGTGTTACTATTTTTAATCATATGTATTATTTTTAATCTATATATTGCATTACTATTTTTAATTATGTACTATTTAGAAATGTCAAAGAAAATAATGAAAAAGGATATGATATTATTTTGACAAAAAAAAACAAAAACTTTTTGTTTGTCTCGATTTATTATTGGATTGATCAACAATAAGACATTCCACATGAAAATTAAAAATATTACATCATATATAACCAATCAAATATTAACATAAATGTTTATAAATATTTTGATCGAATTATGAATTAAACTAGTTTTTCAATTGAAACTTTCCCTTCCATACAAAAAAAAAAAAGTTTTAGCTACGATAATTTTTTTTTTGTTTTCTAAAATAAAGGAATGAAAATAGAAAGATGGAATTTAGAAATTTTGGTGAACGAGCAACCACTTCGGGAATATGTAATTCCTGATTCGATTCTTGGGGTAAATATCTATATAATTTCTTTCTTTCTTTTTTTTTTTTTTTTAGTATAATTACTCAAATTAAACGTTAAATTTTTTTCTTTAATAGGACAGTGCATCTAATGTATTAAAATCATATGTGATTGAAGGAACCCGAAAGAAATTTTGGTAAGATTTTAAAGATTTTAAATTAAATTAAATTACGACTTGTTTATTTATTTATTTATTTTTAATTCTTTAGTGATTCGGCTACTTTTGTTGCAGTTCCAGCACCTGGAACGTATTATAGTATTAAGATTTCTCCAAGCTCGTCTGAAATCGCGGCTAAAGTCTATGTAGATGGTATAGATGATGGTTCTCTTGCAAGAAGTAATTTATCATCATGCACCATCATGAAAGGTTTTCGCAATAGAAACTCAAACACGATACATTATTTCATTTTTGACAAAACAGAATGGGTTGATACGAATATTTCACAAAGAACCGAGTTTGGTGGATTTGGTGCTGTATCTGTATATTTTTACAAAATCAGAAGCATGCGTACATCATATTCACATAATTCAAACAAAGAATTTGAAAAAGTTAAGGTTCCAGAAAATAAAAAATGTTTTGACGTGGCTCTTACTACAAAATTTTCTGAAGGTGCTAAATATTATGCTTCAAACAGACGGGAAAAAGTGGAAACAGATGATGAACCATTGGCTGTTTTACATATTAATTATCGTTCAACTGATTGGTTTTTTTTGAAAGAGATTAAAATTCAGGAGAATTCGATGATTGATAATACATCCACCTCTAATGAAATGGAAAATATTGCTACTACTGTGGATATTAAAGATGAAGTTATCAAAGCTGAACCTGAGATTTCTAAAGAAATAATTACTGTTAGTAATGATAATAAAAGAAAAACTTCAATTACCCATGTTAGAAAAAAGAAACAAAAATATCAAGAAATAGTAGTGATATTGGATTCTGATGATGATAAAGTGATAGAATTGGAATAATATTTCATATTAACTGTTAACTCATATATTAAAATGGTTAGAAATTTTCTAATAAAATTCTTTGATTAAAAATTTATCACATTTGTGATGTTTCTATTATACATAAATAATTAATACAATTTTTTTATACAACTTTTGAGAGAATTCGATCGATAACATTAAAGGTTTTTTCCTTTATATTAAACATATTTTGTATCTTGATATATAATATCTCAAATGGTATTGTCGTCATTAATTAATAACATGATCGATTAAAAAATTGTCCTAATTATATATATATATATACTAAGATGATTTGTTTAAATTTCATTTTTACTGTTTCAAAATTATTTGCAATAAATAAAAACAAATAAATTAGTTAAGACGGGTCATCCCAATAATCATTCTTAAAAACTATCCATTGCAAATCTTTTAATTTAAAGGCCTATCAAATTTGTAAGTTTTTCTTCTTTTAGGTAGTAAGTACGTCAAGTTTTTCAACCAATTTTTAAATGTCCAAAATTTTATATTTCGTGATCATGATAGTCTACATTATCATTTTTAAATTTTTAAAGTTTTTTAATAACTTTTAAATATTCAAGCAAAATATTTTTTAGTTTATAGAAGATAAAAATCATTTTTCCAAGTTGTATTATTCGATCGGTTGAGATCGATTGGCCAGATCTAACCGTCTTCATTTGCGTGATTGAACTTTTAGTAAATGTTTTTTTTTTAAAGATATTGGTTTTTGTAAACACAGATTTTAATGAAATCATGAAAATATAAAATTTACACAGCTTTACATATTAAACAAATTAACATTCTTATTTCTGGTATTGTATGTTGCTTTTTAATTCCTCAATTCAGTAAAATATTAATTTAAACCTTATGTTAAAAATATTTTTAAAATAAACTGCATAAATCATTTATTATTTATATATCAAGTTTATGGTTGATTTTTTATAAAATTCAGTATACTGTATATGAATTATTTAAAATGTTTATGATACGATATTATTATTTATTTTAATTGTTGTCATCTTTATTATTTTACAATAATAAATTATATAATTATATATTCCTTGTTTATTCAACTCTAATTAAATTAATCAAGGAATAAAAGACTTCAAATTTTGCCTATTTCATGAAAAATGTCATTTTTTCAAATTATTTTCCATCCATTATCATTAGATAGAAGGTGTATTCACTCATTTATAAGTTTTCCATCATTAATCAAAAAAATGTAAAAATTTTTAAAATTTTTTAAGATTCAGTACAATCTAGTATTTCGGCCCGAAATTCTGTGCGGTAATGAGTAATTGAGTATAAAAAAAGATTTTCTTTCACAAGCAGATCAAATATCAAATTCCCTGTAGATATTCAGTAGAAGTTCTCACAATATAAAACCAAATTTAGATATCTATATCTGATATTTCAAAAATTTGCTTCCTGTGAGGTTCGAACTCACGGCCTTCAGCTTATAGAACTAACGCGCTGCCAACTACGCTAAGGAAGCTGATTCTCTAGTATGTGAATTATCTAAACAGTACATTTCTAAAGACCATGATCATCTCATATTTAAATTATTTCATCAATTCCAGTGGATCATGTAAGAAAGATGAAATATTAGACTGTGCTATTGATGTAAATTGTGAAAAAATTGGCAGGTTATTTTCTGAATAATAATACCAGAATATCTTTATTTTGACCTGTATAATTTGTAATCATTCTTTATTAATGCCTGAAGATACTAACCCATTTTTCACTTTTACATGAAAAATTATAGTTAAATTGCATTTCCTTTCAATGATTTATACAAAAATTTGTGAAATTTGCGAAGCAATAATATATTGTTATTATAGTGTTACATCATAAAATTACAAGTATAGAAATTTTCTAAGTAAAATACATAATCCTATGGATTTTGTGGATTTTTAAAGCAAAATATAGCATGAAACATACAGTATCATGTTTTGACACAACAGAATAGTTAATACAAAAATATTATGGCAAATATACAATTTTAAAAGCATTAAAGGCTAACATTATTTTACTGACAAAACAAATTCATGTATCATTTTCTGTATCAATAAAGTTGGTGATTTTTAAAGAATTTTTAATGAGATCAAATCACATGGTTAATTCAATCAGAAATACTGTAAAGAAAATTTGTCAATAGAAATTGGCACACATTTTCTACTTATTTTGATTGTAAAACAAGTTAAGAACTCTGCTTTTGTTCATATACAGATTTCGTATCAATTATATCTGTAATCTATATTACCTAAGAGACAAACTAGTTGTATAATTCTCTCTATCCTCAACCTAATATACTAACTAGTCAGAATGTATAACGCACAATATGTAATACTTAGATAATATTTTACTGCGCAGATTGTGTTCCGAATTTTAATATAATTTTATTTATAGTATATACAATATTCTTGTTCCAATATTTAATTATTATAAAATTGTGGGTTTAAAGGTTTCTTTTGACATGTTTTACTAAAGTTTTAGGTATAAAATTAATTATAAGTTATCATAAGCAAATAAAGCAAGTTGCTGCAAAATTTATTTCAATCGAAAAAGCTGTTCTAGATAAAACAATATCTTTTACTAAACTATGCGAAATTTATTAAATTTATTGACACTTATATTTTTTAAATTTTAATTACATGAATTTATTTAAGAAAAGAAATAATTATTTATTTGACTTCATAAATTTAGGCTTATTTATCTTGATGAATTTTTTGATTTTTGATTAAAAGTTTTAAATTTTGAAAAGTGATAAGTTAAACTTTTGTCATACTGCACCATCTGAATCATGGATAATAAAAGTCAATTCTATTATAATTTTATTTTAAATTTATATAAACAAAAATATTTTGATAAAAATGTGTAAAGGATAAAGTTTGCCTTCAACAAATTTTCTAAAATCATTTTGTCCCTATTTTTATTTTATACTAAATTGATGTTAAAAGAAATCAGTGAATATGCTAATTCAAAATGTTAATTCATACCAGCAGAAATAACGGAACTAGCAGTTACAGAACTATCACAATCAATTGCATTTTTTATTAAAATTTGAAGATCCTTAATTCCGTTAGGAGTTTTTTCAGGTGGTGGTGGAGGATGATTATGGATGAGGAAATTGTTGTAAATCATATGGAGTAAAAGAGTAAATTGTACACCACATGTTTTTTCTTTAATATTTTCTCTAATATGACCATTAATGTCAATATGTTTTTGTCGACTTTCTTCTAAAAAAAAAAATAGTTAATTAAAATAAAATATATAATAATTTACATTTATAAATTAATACTGTATTCACCACATAATTTCTGTTTTGAAATTCGTGAAAAATTTGTTGTATAATATTTTAATGGATCCTGCTCCTTCTATTTTAAAGAATCAATATATTAGAATTTTATTATTATTATTTTTTTCTTTAATAAAGTTGCAATTCAATTTTATTGGCATAAAACATTATTCTTACCATAATTGCATTGCCATTAAATAAATCTCGTAATAAAACAATATCAATTGTAGAAGGATCTACTTTAATATTTCAATTACATCTATCATTTAGTTTATATTTATCACAGCCAATAGTGATAATTTTTACCATTAATTAGCTTTGGTTTGCCTGAACAAGTAACTCCATTTTGTTGAAATGGACATTTGGATTCCATACTTCCAAGATAAAGTCTAAAATGTTTGATTAATTAGTAACAGTATTATCATCACTTTCAACTTGATTGTTATAAAAATTCACATTTATTAAAATAAATTTTCACATTAGTTATTTATACAATTAGTTTAGTACTCACATTTTATATTAAAAAAAAAAGAATAAACTTTTTTAATATCTGAAAATTCATCCATTTTCTTAAAATTTTTGATTTATCTTGGGAAAAATTTAAAGTGAGACGATTGAGAGTTTGAAATATGTCACTATAGTGGTTTTACGCGTATATTTATTATTTAAGCCACACAAAGAATACGGATGCAATATTATTATTACTGTATTACCAGTTACATATGTTTATAGTGACATGTATGGTAATATAAGCCATTGAAAATTTTTTTTTAAAATCATACTATCGTACTATCCATATTTTATATCATAACATACTAAATTAGGAAATCGAACTATACTAATTTACTAGTCTAACATGGTTTATGATAATAATTAAATAACTATTTAACAGTTAGCAAAATAATTCTAACTTAGTACATAGCCAATATATATAAAGCATTTCAATCTATCATAATTATAAAATTTTCTAAATAAAATTGATTTTAAAACTGATTACATATACCATTCAAATGTCTTTCCTTCATCTTTTTCTGTTCCTATCCCACTTTCATAACAATATCTTAAATTATATTGTCCTTCAGCACATCCTGCAATAGCTGATTTCATATACCATTCAAACGCATTTACTTCATTTTTTTCTATTCCTATACCATTCTCATAGCAATTTCCTAAATTACATTGTCCCTCAGCACATCCTGCAATAGCTGATTTCATATAACATTCAAATGCTTTTGCATCATTTCTTTCTATTCCTATACCATTTATATAACAATTTCCTAAGTTATTTTGTCCCTCGGCACTTCCATTCTCAACTGATTTAAAATACCACTCAAATGCTCTTTTTTCATTTATATCAGTTCCTATTCCATTTTCATAACAAAATCCTAAATTGCATTGTCCTTCAGCACATTCTCCAAAAGCTGCTTCTAAATACCATTTAAATGCTTTTACTTCATCTTTCTCTATTCCTATACCTTTTGTATAACAATCTCCCAAGTTATTTTGATCTCTGCATTTCCATTCTTAGCTGATTTAAAATAAAATTCAAATGCTTTTTCTTCATTNATATCTGTTCCTATGCCATTCTCATAAAAATTTCCTAAATTACATTGTGCTTCAACACATCCCCCAATAGCTGATTTTAAATACCACTCAAATGCTTTTGCTTCATCCTTTTCTATTCCTATGCCATTTTTATAACAATTTCCTAAGTTACACTGTCCTTCAAAACATCCTGCAATAGCTGATTTTAAATACCACTCAAATGCTTTTGCTTCATCTTTTTCTGTTCCTATACCATTCGTATAACAATTTCCCAAGTTATTTTGTGCTTCTGCTCTTCCATTTTCAACCGATTGAAAATACCAC